TTTTCTTTTAACCGGAAATTGCCTGATCAACGGCCGGCATTTAATGCATTATTTGAAGAGGTGGAACACGCGTCGTGTGGCTCTCTTTGGGAGCAAGGCCCTTCGCCTCGGCGAAGTTTGGGGTATTCAGTTTACGTATCACGATATTCTGTTCGGGACTAAACAATCCGCACACAGCTTGATAATATACGATTGCATACTGTGCCATAATAGGTGTTCACGGTGTTTTCCTGTGATAGAAGATGCCGGCTCCTGATGCAACATCAGTTCGTCGTGGTGTGCTGACCGCTTACCTAACTCAACCATTGTGAAGCGGCAGAAAATTAGTCCCTTACCTCGAGCTCTCGCTTCGTCCTATGCGTAGACCTCCAGCAGCAAACGTCGAAGCGACCATGGTGAACCCCCAGGCCATCCGCTTCGTTTGCACACGAGCAAGGCCAGATATTCCAAAAACCGGCTGCGCCGTTAAAAACTACTTCCGCGAGTTTTCGACGTCCCAATCGCTGACTGATAGCAGCGATGCATCACCACCTGGTGCCGGCTCGAAACCGTCCGTTCGCCAACGGACGAGAGCTGCGGCGACCGAAATCAATTCTCTCGTGAAGAAAAGAGGCGCCTCATCAGCAGCACAGCGGCCAAATCTTAACGCAGGATCCACTTCCCAGCCGAAGGTCATTGATGTACGAAGTCTACCTCGTGGTTTGGGAACACGGGGCCGAGGCGCCTTTCGAGGACGAGGACAGGGCCAAGTAGGCGCGACAACTCAGGGTCAACATTCTAGAGCGCAGTCTCCAACATCTGGAAACAGGTTCTCTCGTCCTGGCGGTGCAATCCCTGGAAGAGGATCAGCCACTCGAGGTGGACGGGGGGGTCGCGGCGGAAGGGGTGGTGGTCGAGCTACAACCGGCTCCAAGGGACGCCGCTCAGACAAAGACGGCGCAGATAAAGATGCCAAGAAGTTTGGCAAGAGACAAGACCCTTTTGAAGTCATGGACCCGTACGAAGAACAATTCGATAAGGACATGCGATTCGGAACCACGACAGCATACCAGTCCTCTCTTACACTTGAATCCCTGGCTAGCTTTGCACCGGCCGTCCCAACAAGTGAGGCCGGGCGAAAGGCTACAGTTCTCGAGAATCTGAGTGCCTTGGGGACAGCTGATCCCGTAGGCGCGCCGCAGGATTTGCAAGCGGGTAGCTACGCGGCGGATCTAGAGGCGGGCGGTGTACGATTCTTTGCCGACCCAAGGAGCAAGGCAGCTGCCGAGCAGTATCTGCAGAACAAGCAGCTGGAGAGTTCGGGTGAAGAAGGTAGCGAGAAGAAGGACACTCGCGTCAGCGACGCAGAAGAGTCTGTTCGACAGGTGATTCTTGAGCAGGCTGTGCTGGGGGAGCACGAGAAGATGGTTTTCCCGACGGGACCGGTTGGTATTTCGAGGGCGTGGCATTTGAGGGCGGAGACTTGGACGAGAAGAGACGTGGAGAGCTTTGAGAAGAAGTTGACGTCCCTGGTGGGCGGCGCTGGTAAGGGTGGGAAAGCGGATAAGAAGGGGAAGAAAAAGGGGACCTAGACGGTGTATGATGGGATGTATCATGTAATATAGTAAAAGCAAGACATTATTTGATTGTACATTATAATCACCATTGCTTGTATTTGTTGTAACATGGTTGCATGTACGCCTACGTAGTTTGAGGTCATTTTCAAGTCATAATCATTCGGTGAACCAGGAGGCTTTTCGTTGTGGATGCAGCATCGCCAATATCTGCAAGCTAAGGGTGACGCTGCTGTCGTTCCATCCATTGCGCCTTCAACCTGCCCAAGTCTGCAAGTTTACATGCAAACCAAGGAAGCTTCCAGGTTGAAATCAATGTCCATCTTGTTGTATATAAAGTACAGTACATCTATTATACAAAATATAGGAGCAGGTCTAATAGCACCACTGGATACTCCAAGTCCGAACTCACTTCGGCACACAGCCGAGGAAGGGGCCAAACTGCCTCTATTGTCTCGATTGACGAATCTGCCATAGTGTGGGTTTAAGCAATGAAGCAGGGATTCAAGGAGTAATAGATTCGACCCAAGCTTCTCATTGCAATTCTTTCCCAGTCACTCTAACAACTCATATTTCCTATCCTCGATCACCTTTCCAGCTGTTTTATGCTCTGCGCCTCCTCTCCGTCAATCTCCTTCATCTTCCCATCCTGAAGCTTCTGCAACTCTTTCTCAGCTCTCTTCACAACGTCCTTCAACACGGTGCCGTCTTTCCCCCACCCCTTGAGCACCTTGTCGTGTTTCGATCTCGCCTGCCGGACTTTATCCCTCCACCCTTGCGTAGCTTCCTTGATCCGCTTGACGAGCTCTTCCTTGCGCTCCATCTCCACCCTCATCAACAGCTCCAGGTCGTTATCCTCACTGCGTTGGGGCTGCTGGTTGAACTCTTTGCTGGCCTGCACGGCAGACATGATGGGCTTGATGTAGGCCTTGTCGTTGACGAGAAGGGATATGTTTCGGCCAGAGCGGGGGACTACCTGGGCGAGTTCGCGGAGGGGAAAGGTCTCGAGTGTGCCATCGTCGGATGATTTGACCGGAATGGAGAGCGCGCCCAGGCTGGAGGGGTTGAAGCGCCCGCCATGGAGGATCGTTTGGAGCTGCGACTTGAAGTGTGTGTCTACGGGGACGAAGGCGGCGAGGAGGGCGGAGAAGTCGAGTGGTTCGGAGGGGTTAGGGGACGATGATGATGACGAGGGCTCTGTATTGCTTGAAGGCCGTGGAGGGGAGTTGGCAGCCGGTGCGATTTTGCGCTTCTTGAAGCTTTGGGGAGAGGTGTGGAAGGAACGGAGTAGTAGGCGATGCTGGACGAGGTAGATTGGTCTGATGAGTTAGCCTGGTTCGGATTCGGCTTCTGGTAAGAGCTTACGATTCAATTGGCGCTGTGAGACGAAGGGCTCGGCGGAGGAGCCTGCTTGAGTTGGGGAGAGCCATTGTTTGTGCGTGGTGGCCGTGAGCTTGTAGCAGAACTTTGGAGTCGAAGCTGGTGCTTTCGCGATAAGATAAGGCTGAAAACTGTAGCGTCACAGTGCGATCTCCAAGACGAGACGGGAAAAAAAACAGCTGTGCCGCGCTTTATTACTAAAGGAGTTGTCTTTCAATTACTTTTCTCCCTGAACACAAGATTTCACTCTAATTTGTCATATTGTACTTGACAAGGTGTTCTATATCGGTCAGCTGGAATGAGTGCTTGGGGATATATATATAGTTAGCACTTTATTGACGAAAAGTCAGCCATCAGCATCTATGCTAGAGCGCCACCATTGTCATGTCCAATTGCAGCTCCAAACTTCGCGTCTCCTTTCTCCTGGACTATTCGAGCTTGCTCTTGAAATGCTTGCAGTCCTGGGTGAGACGACTGGATGGGTGGGAAGTAGTGACTAAATCAGCCTCATATAGGGTGACAGCTGCTGTGAAGGTTGTCGATTTTACTAACTAGATACATCCCGTAGTTAGTGGAATGCTAGATTTCGGGGAACCGTGACACCTGCCTACCACGATAATGGCTATCAGCGCTTTTGCCACTCTGTTGCGGTTGGATTGGAAGAAGCCTACACTAATCGACAATAGAATCTTGCTGAAATAATGTCTATCGGATTCGGGACCCCTCCCCTTCTGGAAACTTTGTTGTTCATCACCGCCCTGGTTATTTTGCGCGTATGAGTGGTCTCTGCCAACTTATGTTATCCTGTGCTCCGTACTCCGTACTCCGTACGCAACACTAATTAGCTAGTTCGCGTAAGCTCATGATATGGCGCAAGAATTCATGCGTATTGAGCAGCGACGGGAGAATATTCGGAAATGCATAGAAAATCTAGAAGCTCCCGCCGGAACTTACAAACCAAAATTTCAGCCGATTGAGTCAAGGTTGTAAACTATGGAGGGGCCGCGCATGGATGATCTTGGGATGAATGATGTTGAACCGCGCCAGAAACCACGAACAAATATTTCAGTGGATTGAGTAAAGCAAATATATAATACGGAAGACTGCGCATCCAACAGTCAATTACACGGCAAAAATAAATACATATCTGCACTGGGCATTAAACTTGGAACTTGTTATGCCAAAGGTGGTACTCTCTGCGTTTAGAATCTAAAGCAGGAGCCAAAAAAAAATTAGGCATGTCCACACCAGGGCTCGAACCTGGGACCTTTTCCGAACAATATGCTTATTCAACACAATGTAAAGGAAACATGCAAAACCACTACACTATGCGGACGATGTTGACAGAATTGACGTTATCATGGATCATACGGAGTAAGTCAAGGAAGTTTTGCTCTGCCGTCCAAGACGAGTAGAGCTTCCATTTCCTAAGTTGCACCTTGACTCGTCAGCAAATCTTCGCCGCGGTTAGTTTTATGCTTATTCTTTTCGTCGCTCATGAACTCATCTGAGTGCGTCAATTTCCAAAAAAAAAAAAAAAAAAA